CCCGATCCAGTTGAAGTGGGCGAGTATGTGTGTACAGACTTTAGGCAAGTGCCTTGCTGTAGCTGCGATTTGGCAGGGCCCAAGCCTTTGGCATATGATGCAGATGCAGGGATAGTATCTAGACAGCCTCAAACGACTTTACACAGTCTGACTTCGCTGCCCGTGCGACGGTATCCTAAAACAGATGAAGTACCTAACCTTAGCGTGTAAGCTTGTTTGTGAAAGCTCGTGGTCCTCCCCCTGTGCACATACACGATCATGCATCGTTGCACAAAGTGGACTGAACTTGTATTCCAGGTTGTTTGCTTGCTCGCTGTTGCATGGTACGGGAATGTGTGACTTCCACAGTTTGTCATTCACCATGTGCTGCTAAGTTGACTGTTGTTCTTGTCGTAGCAGCGCATTGCTCGGCTGATTTCCTGTCAGACTGCTTACACTTGACGATTCGTTAGACGTCGACAACAAGCAGTGGTCATGCTACGTGAAGGAGGAGAACGAGGAAGAGGAAATAATGATGACGACCTTGCTTGTATTGATGGTGGCAATGTTAATGATGCTGGTTATGGCGCTGCCGATTCTTCGGTCATGGTTATTGTCGAACTGCCGACCTTGCTCCGGTGATGAGCCGTAATCTTCCTCTTTGATCTGCTATCTGCTTGCCATAATCAATGGTGCTTGCTCGTGTTCAGTGTTATCTTTCTCAGTGTTGCTACCGTTCTTATTTATACCATCGCCAACGATCGAGCATCGGAGTGGCATGCACTGCAGCTGCACCGATAATCTGTTTCATGATAAGCCAGTTCAGAGTCATGTTTCGGAAGCTTGGACATCCAAGTATCCAGATTGTGTTTGCGGCCCTTTGGCCGGTAGTTACATCATCAGTGCTGCGCCATCAGTACGTGCCTGTCTGGGTCAAGTAGGGTCGCAGCTTGCTTGAAGGCCTTCTGCGACTTGCTTGCACTGGAGCTTGACGGTGGCCGCAAACTTTCAATAATTTCCGAGCTTTGAATTCCGATTTTTCGGTCTCTTAGCGCACTTGCTTTCAGTTCTTGTCTCCGCCCTGATTTGCATTGGCTTGAGATGGCAGCAACCAGCAGCCCGCCAGAAATAACGGCCGATGCCCATGTGTCTACGGGGTTGCAGCTGTAACAGTTGGGCTTGGCGCAGTTCAGCCTGCTTCCTCTTGTACTACCTGAGCAGCTGCTCTGTCAACATCTCACGAACCCCAAACTGAACTCCAACTATATAAGCCCCAATACCCTAAGCAGAAGTCAAAAAAGGGGGCCAAGAAAGGCCCTAAAGGCCCGAAGCCCCCAGGAACAGCTTCTTCGATCAGAACCCGGGCCGGGCCTTCTTGAAGGACAAGTGGAACTACAAGATGTTCTGGTCAGGCTCAGAAACTTACCTTACCGGGTTTGAACTGCAAGATTATCTGGCCAGGCTCAACTTTGCCCCAGAAGGGTTTGAGGCTCAGGGGTTTAGGATGGAAGAGCAATCAAAATTGAGCGCATGGTGTTCTACGTTGTGTTCGGCAAGGTCTACATTGGTGTGGAAACATCCGGTATTTCCTCTTAAGGGTATCTGATGAGTGTGCTTGTTGGTGTTGTTGGTGTGGTAGTGGTGTTGTTGCTCGTGCTACTATTGTCGTCGTTTGGTGCTGCCTGCAGATTCTCGATGCTGTTGTGTTTGTTTCAGTACTTCTGCAGACTCTTTAACTCATGAATGTGTCCAGGAAGCAAAAACCTCAAACGCAAGCACCAACGTTGTTTGCAATGCTGTCTCACACATTGGCATGGGCTGTCAGCGGCTATCACATTACATTAACATTGGCTCGGGATACTTGCGCCTGTCAGCTCATCCCCAACGTCAAAGTTTGTGAATGCTGCCATAGCTGCCATGACGCATCGTAGACGAGAGCAGCAAGTCCGATAACATCACTAGTAATCATACCTGGGTTGACAACATTCCCAAGAGGAAGGCAACAATTACATGAACAATAAGCGTAACGAGAGCAAGAACAATAACAGGAACAAGGACAACAACAACCACAACCACAACGACAGCAACAACCACTGACAACCACAGCCACAACCGCCACAGGGACAGCACCAGCACCCGGCACGATCAGCAGCCTCAGCAGCAGCAGCAGCAGCAGCAGCAGCCGCAACGGCAACGGCAACGGCAACGGCAACGTGCAACCGCGACCACAACCGCAACACAGCTCAGCTAGGCGTTTGACACAAGAGGTAACTCCTCCAGTGCAGCCCTCCAGGGTCAAAGCCCTACCCCGGCAGCATCTCGCCACGCAACCCATGTAGTCATTGTACTGTAACAGAATGTAACAAGTGTGACTGGCGCTTTGCATGGCTCCCGGCCTCACACTTGATAAAACACCTCTTTGTATAGCAGAGACCTGACTGCGTGGAGGCTCCAACGAGACGGCCATTGTAACTTGGCTGTTGCGAGCTTGGAAGACTGAGACGGCAGAGTTTTGCTTTGAAGTGAAGAGCTCCTTCAGCATGACAGTGGAACCATGAAGGTACACTATTGGGCTGTGAAGCCTTCAGACGGTTTACGCTGCTTCTTGCGGGAACGCTCTCAGGACCGACAGCCGTGGCGGCAGTATTTGTTGCTGTGGGAAGCTGTTGTTGCGGTCGGCGTAGTGAGAGCCACAGGGGTGATCGTGGGGTGTCACGGCGGTCGCAGTAGTGCTCGGGTGGTTTTCGTCGAAGTAGCAGTAGAACAAGAAGTGGGAGGCCGTTGCAGCCGAAATAGCACGCAGCTGCAGCAGTGGTTGGAGCAACAGAACTTGTAGTATTGGATGCAATAGTAGCAGCAAGAGCAGCATCAACATGGTCACTCACTCACGCTGGAGTCTTCAGTGTCGAAGTGGTCGTCGTGATGTAGTCAATTTCGTAGTTGTAGTTGGCTGGACTTGGAAGTCATTCGTAATTTCGCCACAGAGCACAGGCCGCAGCTGGGTCGGTGGTGTTTGTTTGCTAGCCGGTTGGGTTTCTTTCATATACTACCAAGCTGGGGGACTTGAAATATAGTCTCTCAATCTGAACCCAAGTTCGGCAGTCGGGGAAGGAGGGGCGACAGAGGCTCGTAACCCCGAACAAATCCTAAATCTGGAATGTAAAGTATCACCCTGCCGAGGCCAAGCGATTCGCTCAGCAACGCAGGAGGCAAAAAGCCTAAATCGAGGTCGGGGGTGCAAGCAGGCCACGTTCAAGTCGAGTCCGTCTACTTGCTGTAGAGCTCCGTGGTTTAACGGTTAAACTATACTAAGATGCCTCCAAGACCCTATGCTATCCGTTCAGGAGCCTGGAGCCTATGTCACTGGCAGACAAATGAAGTTGGGATGGAATCAATCGCACCCCACTCCACGCAGTCGAAGCTGCTAGAATTTGAATCTCTCTGAGCCCCGAATTTCCAAGTTCTCCAAACTCTGCCGATGAGAAGGGCAGGAGGTCGTGACAGCCTCGCAGGAGAACTGTGGGGAGATCGATGCGGGCCTCATTCCCAAGAATAAGCAGAACTTCCAGACCGTCGCTTGTCCGAAGACTTGTGTTTCCCACTTGTACTCAGACTTCTCCGGGTATTCTGCAAACACCAGAAGCACCAACATGCAAGTCACACATGGTCACACATGCGTGCGTTCATATAAAGTGTATGCTTACATGTATACATATATCTATACATACATACATACTGTATGTGTACACACACAGTTTCGCATGCACATCATATGTATGCATGCAAGTACATGTGTATTGTCATTATGTATGCTGAGCAAGCTCAAGCCAGGCATGCAGCTACCGGGGTGGGAGCACTTGATGAGCCAAAGACTCGCACTGCAGGTGGTCCAATTGCAGTCGCAAGCTTGCTCAGGAAGCTTTGGCCATCGCCCTCAGCGTGGATGAGAACATGACCTTCCTCCAGGAACGGCCTGTGAGTTGAGATTTGTTGATGTCACGCGCTCCGATTTCGCTTAGATGCAGCGTCTATCATCTATTTTATCCTACTCTTTTTTGTCGATTGAAAGAAGAGCTGCCAGGAGTCCCTGGCGAAATTCGACCGCTTCAGCGCGCTCCGTGATTTGGCTTTCACACAGTGAGGATTCAGAGTGCCATTTGCAGGCCTCACTTAGTTGCGTTCCAGCATCAGGAAAGGTACCCTTCATGATTTTAGTTGACGCTTTAAAGCATAGCTACCTAGCCGAAGTTTCATACTTTCCTGCCGCTGATCTCTGAAATAGCAGCTTGCGTTGTGCCCGGACCGATGCTTGGCAACCAAAAGCCAACAGCAGTCTGCACCGGCGAAGGTGAGTTTAGAGCTCAGCAGCTAGTTGCATATCCTGGCTACCTGTCAAAGTCTTCGCGTGGTTTCTGTTGTTGCTTGTAGTTCCCTGTATAAACGGCTCAAGTTCGCAACTTTGCATCTGTAGCCGGCTTATTGCGTCGCAGCCGGAGCCGGCTGCCAGAATCCGCCATGACGGAGGTCGAGCCGGAGTTCAAGGTGGGCGCGAAGGGCAAGAAGCAGGTGGTGGACAACGCGCTGGACAAGAAGTTCCGAGGCTCGAAGATGGACAACTTCTTCAAGGTGTCGCAGCGGGGCTCCAACCTCACGACGGAGATCCGTGCCGGAATCACAACCTTCCTCACCGCGGCCTACATCATGGCCGTCAACCCGAACATCATCAGTACCACGGGTCTCAATTTCGATGGCCTGGTGTTCGCGACAGCGATGTCGAGCTGCATAGCTACGCTGATAATGGCGCTTTGGGCGAACTTGCCGTTTGGCCTGTGGCCAGGCATGGGCATGAATGCTTACTTCGCCTACACCATAGTAGGTTTCAAGGGCACGCAGAATGCTGTGAAGAAGGTTATGATGGCTGTGACCGTCGAGGGCGTGATCTTCATCATCATGTCTGCCTTCGACCTCCGGCGCTATGTCTTCAAGGTCTTCCCCACATGGATGATGAAGGCCACCATGGCGGGGATCGGCTTGTTCTTAGCCCACATCGGACTGCAAGCTGGCAATGGCATTGATATCGTCAGGGACCACCCGGCAGTGCTTGTGGACCTTGTGACTCTCACTGGCGAGCACTTTGCGCGCACGTGGATCGGAATCGCTTTCTTTTGCGTCATGAGCCTCTTGATCCTCCTGCGTGTGAAGGGAGCCGTGATGATTAGCATCCTGCTTAGCGCGATTCTCTGCTGGATTCTGTCAGCTACCACGGAGCAGTTCAACTACAAACCCATGTGCTGCCTCGGCAGTGTCACCTATCCCGATCCGGCCGCCGGAGGTGTAGAGTGGTATCCCAAGCCGGGAGGCGGCTTCTACCCCAAGCCTACGTGCATGGACCCATACACTGTCCCTGGTAAGGGCAAGATGGAAAGCACAGACTCCGGACCCTCATTCAGCTTCGAGTCCTCTGCATCCGTGTCCTATGCCAACGGGGTCTACACGATCACCAACGGTGGCTCCTCCGTAAACCACACTGGCAGCATCTACTTCGAGGGCATCGCAGCAGGCCGCGACTCCTCCTTCAATGGCGGCTGCACCGACACCTGCCATGCCATGATGGGGGGCTTCAATCCTGCGTGCTTCGGCACCGTGCTCGTGGAGACGGGTTGCTGGACATCCCGGGGCCCACAGTACAGTAGCCCTCTAAGTCCTCTACAAGTGTTCGTTCCATTTAAGCCTCCCCTGAGATTTCAAGGACCATGCCATGAGCCCTGGCCAGGACTGGCATGGACTTTCAAAGCCGAGCAACTCAGCAACTGGTGGTCGATCAGTTTGGAGAGGGTTGCCTTGGTGGTGCTGGGCGAATCCCGACACCCGCCGTGATTTGCAGGGACACCGGGAAAGAGAATTTCAAGAAGGGTATGTGAGGGTTGTAACAGCCCAAATACACACAACTTACTGTCGTGCTGCCCGATGATAGACCTAAGTACATCGACCGCATGGTGCCAAACACGGCGCGAACATTCAGGTCAACAACCTCGGTAAAGCGGGTGGGCCGATTCGGAAAGTGCCTGGGGTGATTCAGAAACACGGTTCGCAAAACCGAAGGACGTTTCGGGCTTAGGCCAGCCTAGGTCGTACAATTTGTGTTGGAAAGTTGTGTGATTTCTGCCAGAGCCTTCAGACTTCGATTCCATATCCTGTCGTCCGAACTCTTGAAGTTATTGTGTGTCGTATGGATTGGATCTGGTTCGCATCTCATCGCATCCCAGTCTTGCCCCTCTGTACCTCTGCAGGCCTCTAGTTGCAGAAGCGTTGTGGAGGACACGACATGCCTTCGCTTCAGATGTTACGATTTTTTTGAATCAGAGGTCTTTGACATGAAGCCTTTTACAGAAGTCTGCGACTCACACACACAGACGGCGATGGCGGTACAATACTCCCAACTTCCAAGAAGACTTCATGGCAACGTAGAGCTAGAGTGACTCAGTAGTCGAACGGGAGGTTGTAGAGTTCACCTCCCAAAACAATAAGCGTGTCATGGCTTTCGCTTGGACTATATGTCTTTGTCTAGTTATCCAAACGTAGCATGTTTTTCTCCGTCAAGCTTAATGTTGCGTCTTGGGATGGTCACCACATTTGGCGGCTGACTTTGCTCCATCATCGAACATTCCACCGTCAACACCCCGAAACAAGTACACCACCAACAGTCCAAGACCAAAAACCGTAGCGCCACAAAACAAATGAACTTGAGTCCTGTAGGAACCTCACGTAGAAGGAGCCTTAATCACTGAAAGGAAGACTTTCAGCCCTCCCAACGCCTTCGCCTCGATTCCACTCGTGGACGTCGCCGGACCATTGGTGGCCCCATTTTCCGGATGGGGTGGCTGTGCTTCTTGGTTTCAGGATGTTTTTTAATGTCCTATTGCGGTTAGAGGGCTTCAGGTTTCGTGGTTCCAGCATAAAGTGCCGGTCGCTCGTAGAAGCGGAGGAGGTATGTCCCGGTGAGTCGACTGGCTCCCGTGTTTTGTGTCTGTGCGTGTGCGGGTGTCTCTTTTCGTTTTCACGGTGGGGGACGTAGTAAGCAAATGTTTCTATGGTCCCTTTCGTCAATGTCGTGGTGGTTTGCTCTGTGCTCGTTTTTGCGAGTTACCCGTGGGCGATCGCCTCGTGGTTGTGGCTAGGTGTCGGCGGCAGCAGGGGGGATGGTGGAGGTGTTGGCTCCCTTTGTGATGCTGGGGGCAGAGGTGTCGTCCTGGCAAAAACACACGGAGTTTGCAAGGTGGAGTGGTGGCAACAGTCGAACAAGTGATTCAAGTGCGTCGTCTTGCTAACTACTGCTGCTGACATCTCAGGCTGGAAGGTCAATTGTGCTTTAGTGCAAGCCACCAACTCAGGATGCAGATGGCGCCAACTGTGTCAACGGCGACGTCTCTGGTGGCACTATTCTGGCTTGGGACACCTCCGGTTTCGGCGACTGGCAAGGCTTCTGGAATCCGCGTCTCGCCTCGAAGTTGAAACTAGGCCATTGAAGCGCGATTTCCGTCCTGCATGTTTCGGAAATACACGGAAAACTGCAGTCTAGCTCACAAGATGAATGTAAAGCAGGTTCAAAGGCGCAGTGGGGTCAAGCAGGCCAAGGTGCACTAAGTACTAGTACAAAGTCAATTACCACTGAGGTTGCTCACGCTCCTTTACATCGACTTCATCGGCACCATGGGGTTCCTCTACGCAGCAGCAGACCTTAGTGGGCTGGTCGATCCGGAGAAGCCGGAGACCTTCCCCGGTTGCTACGCGGCCTTCATGGCGGATGCCGTCGGTACCTTTGTGGGTGGATTCCTGGGCACCAGCTCGGTTACCACGTATGGCGAATCCATGGCTGGCGTCTATGAGGGTGGCCGCACCGGTCTGACGGCGCTCGTGATCGCTTTCCTGAACTTCATTTGCATCTTCATGACACCCTTGCTCTCCTCCATTCCTACGCTTTCAACCGGCCCTGCATTGGTCATGGTGGGGGTCTTCATGATCGAAGGCGTGAAGGATATTGAGTGGACTGACTACATGCAAGCCATCCCCTCCACGATCTGCATCCTTCTGCAGATCACGACCTACAAGATCGAGGTTGGTGTCTTGGGTGCATTATTAGTCTGGACTTTCCTCATGATCTTCTCGGGCCGCATCTTCTTATACATGCCTGCGGTCTGGGAGAAGCTTCCACCTGCCATGCAGCGATTCGTCTCCACCCAGCTCGGGGACAAGGAGTTCCAACAGCGACTGAAGGAGGTCGGTGCACTCCCAGAGGAGCCGAAGAAAGAGCTCGGCGTCCTTCCCACAGCCATGGAAGAGGGGAAACCGGAGGTTCGCCAAGCCTGGTGAGCTGGGCGCACAGAAGCCATGTGCGTGGGATTTTCAATTTGGGGGGGGGCTAGCGGCTAAGGGAATCTAGCAGTGAATGAGGGCCCGACGCCCACAGGCATCTCCGCTAAATCTGGTGGCAACGCCCCCCTCAAGATCCCACACTCAAGTTGCGGAGCAAGATGCATGTTGAGTTCTGTGCTGCATGCTTATAAGTCAACAGGGACAACTCGCAACTGTCTGCGTGTGTGCGCCTATGGTTTGTTTGTTTGTTTGGCTGGCGGTCTGTCCTTTGTCTGTCCGTCCGTCTGTCTCTGGGTTTCTCTCTATGTCTGTCTCCATGTATGTACGTATGTAGGTCCAATGATGTATGTAGTATGTATGGTTCTGCATGTCAGTATGTCTATAGTATGTCTATACTATGTCTCTGTGTGTGTATTGTGTATGCATGCATGCATGCATGTATGCATCTATGTATGTACGTATGTATGTATGTATGTATGTGTGCATGCACGGTTGACGTCTGTATGCCTGTATGTATGCATGTGGGTGGTTGTCAATATTAGGGTCGTTTTGGGTTCCCTATGATAATACGGCGCCTAATATTTGGGGTACCCAAACAGGGACCCTAATTTTGACAACCACCCATGTACGTATGTATGTTTGTGTTGTTTGTAATGCCGTATGATGCTATGGTGTGACAAGTTGTTTGAAGCTTTCTTATGGCTGGTATGGTATGTTGTATCATGAGATGCATTGCTAGACTTATGCGCTGCTGTTTGATGTCATGATGTTACGTTGTGTCATACAATGTGGATGAGGGGCCAGGCTGCAAGTGCCAAACCATGAATGCAGCGACAGAATTTCAGGGAATTGCCACCCCGGAGCCGCAGTTGCGATCTGGGGGTGTGCTCTGTATAGACTCTAGCAGGCCGTACTATAAAAGTCCCTGCGTAGCGGCAGAAAGCTTAAAAAAGCAGGCGGACAGAGAGCGCAACCCCGAAACTATTGGCTTTGCCGTGGCTGGCGGTTTGAGTTTCGGGCTCTAGTCTGGGATCCCGTAATTCGCATGATGCCCCCTTTCAGAAGGGAAATGCACTCTTGATTTGACCCACGAATTTCCCGTTGGTGTGTGATAAAATCCGCTCTTGAAGGAGGGGAGTCTACGCCATCTTGCATCCGGAAATGTCGCTTTGCTTCCGGATGCTTGACGGGATGTTTGGGACAATTGCCCGTGACTGTGACATGGGTCAAACCCAGGTTGTCCGGGCCGAAGCAGTTTGGCTGAAGACTTAGCTTCCATGCGGCCGCCGGCAAGGTCAATGTCAATAACGAGGTCACATGAGCTCCGAGGTCAGAAAAGATCCTTGTGAGTGAGCTTCAGTACACGTAAGGCTCCTACACGAAATCTGAAAGTGAGTAAACTTGCAGCAGCCGCTTTTCGAAGCATGTAGCTCTTTGTTGCAAGACCCGGTTCGCATTCAGTGCCGTCTCTTCCCAAGCCAGCGGCTTGCTCGGCAATGCTCCGGACGGAAAAGAGCAACCGCACAGAGCCTGAAAGATTTAACATTGTTCCTGCAGGTCCCTGAATATATCTATATCTATATCTATATACAGTATATATATACATACATACATACATACACACACACAGGTAGTTTTCCTCAATTATTTCTGTATCTATTTCTAGTGCATACGCTTCGCTGCCTGTAGCTTTCAGTGGGCTTTTTTAATCCAGGCCAAGGAGAAGTAGATAGAGAGAGAGTTGATCCTGGAAAAGATGAGACGCCGATGACACGGAGATCGGCATCTCATCGGGACCCCTCCTTCAACCTGGAATATGTGGGCATTTCCGAAAACAGGGGACCCTGATATAGTACCTTAAGTAGTAGGATCCTTATTATAAGGACTCCAAAAGAGAGAGAGAGAGAGACAAAATCAGGTACTCCTGGTTTTCGGAAACTCCCATGTATGTACCCATGGCTCCATAGTAGTTCCTTGTTTGGGGCTCATGTTTAGCATCCTACAAGGTAATCCCCAAAAGGAACTACTACGGAGCCTATGGGCTATGGGCTGCATGCAGGCATGCATATATGCATACATGACACACATGTATGTATGTGTTTCGATCTAAGAAGTTATGTCATGTATTACATGCTGGTTCGTTCATATATGCCCACATGGACTCATCCAGCCCTTGGTTGCAGGTCCGGGAATTCCTGACCACCGGTCGGCCGGATGTCAAGGCTGCTAACGACAGGGTGAGCGGCCTCAGAACAGCGGGTTTCGGGTTCGAGCCTGTTGGTTTAAGTTATGGGGTCGTAAACTCAGCGGGAGTCTAGGTTGAGTGCCTCCTACGTTTTCATGCTGTTTCAACACCCGTTGTGGGTTTTTGCAAGCTGTCCGCAATTGGACGAGCCTGGATGAAGATGTGTAGGTTCATCGGGACATGCCACGGACAAGTGCTAACTAAGGTATCCTGCTTTTGCAGGTCTAGCTTGCAGATGACAACTAGTACAAAATTCAGTAACCGACGAGTTTTCATGTCGGTATCTTGAGGATATACACGCAGGGAAAATACCCTAGCATCGGTTCAGAGATGCAGCTTCTCGAAGGCCGACATGAGACTAGCATGTCTAGCTCAAGAACTAGGATACCATCATCGTACTTGCACGGTTCTCAGAAGTCACCAGGGCCATGCTCCCGCTGCCACCATGAGATCACAGACCGTAGCACTTCAGCCTTTAAGCCCACAGCGTCACATCCCAACCCGACTTCAAGACCCCACAACCCGGCCTCTTTAGTGCCGCCCATGGAGCAAGATGTCCTTTCTCCAGTCCTTGCGCAACCGCAGCTTGCTTGAAGAACGCGCATGTCATGCAAACAGCTTGACAGTCGCCGCTGCAGGGTTGTCTATGCGAGTTTAAGCAAGGTGCTAAGTTCACGTGGTACGGAGTGAGTGTGTGTGTGTGTGTGTGTGTCTGTGTGTGTGCGTGTTGTTTGTGTTGTGTGTGTGTTTGTGTGCGCATGTGTCGGTGTATGTACAGATAATATGTTTCGCGAGAGGGCTGCTGTTTGATTACCTTGAATCACATGCTCTGCGCAACGCGGGTTCAAGTGAAAGGTCCTGAAGACTGAGGTTTGATGGATTAAGACCTTTGGTAGTTCCCCTTTGGTGTATGCTACGGTTTGTTACCGTTCCACGTCGGGAAAAGACGGCAGTTGGAGTTCGTTCTGTATCTTCAGCCCGTTGCTTTGGATTTGGGCCGTAGAGATCCGATATGCAGGATTGCCCGGCACGGAAGTTCATGGAAGAGGGGTTCGGCAGGCTTGTGCGCACGTAGGCACATGTCTGTCTCGGACTGAACCTGTTAGTTAAGGGTAAGCTACCGATTGCAGTTGAGTTTATACATTATTAGTATATCAAGGAAGCCCTCCCGCATCAGAGGCTTCGGCCTCCTTATCTTCTCCATAAATCACTCTCCCTCTTTAGGGCAGTTTTGGGTTCTTCGCGGCATATTTTAGAAACCCTAAGGCTCTAAGGACTCGTATCTTAAGGAGTTTGGGCCTAAAGACCATATTATCTAAGGCTTTTGGAGCCATCTCCGAGCGTTCTTGGGCCTTAGGGATCCAGTGGGAGTTTCCGAAAATACGGGACCCTAACAGAGTACCCTAAATAGTGGGGTCCTTATTATAGGGAGCCCAAAAGAAGGTACCCCCCAATTTTTGGAAGCTCCCAGTGGGGAGCAGGAGAGAGGCTCCTTCGCTGGTTTGATGAGGCCCCGGGCCGAGGGTCCTCGAGTTTGGCGCGTTTTTGGGCTTACTACCGGGTCCTAAATAGTTACGAATACTATGTTGGGGGTTCCTTGTTACAGCTGTAGTATGGTATTCCCCAAAATCCGATTCTAGGTGTTAAGGAAACTGACATTACGGATTTTGGGAGTTTTGCTTCTACATAGCTTTGAGACTAGGAGGTCTTGCACCGGGGTTGGAGGAAAGTAGCCCTCGGCTAGAATCTAGAATTTGACATGCATGGTCGTCCGTGCTGCAAGTTAGACACTATAAATTCCACTAACTTTGGGCGCTTGGGCCGTGACTATGGGTTCCGTGGGGTGTTTTGTGGGGTGCGGCCGTAACTTCAGGTTGCGGTTTCGGTCTTTGGCTTTCTTCCAACATCCCCCGCTCGGCCAGGCCAAGCTCTGTTAATCTCCAGCCTCCTTCATCCCAGCTCATTAGGGTGTGAAAGCCGGGTGTGGACATGTCAAGGTGCTTCGAGTGTTTGAGGGTTGCCTCGGGTTTGAAAGCTGCGATTCCCAGCCAAAGACTGTTTGATTCAATTCAGGCCTACAGCTTTACACTCCGCAGAATGGCAGCAATCCGAACTTACTACGTAGTAACTATCAGCACTCAGTCGTTGAAGCAACAGATTGCCGGAACCCGGGCATTTCCTGACCGAAAGGCCGAACATTTGTGTCCCGTCATCAAGCAGGATCGCGATTGAGCTGTAATCCCTTCCCCCTAATATTAAACCGCTCCCCCCCCCCCCCCTAATATAAAAACTGGAATTCGGAGGTTTGGTTTTTATATTAGGGGGGGTTTCGGGTCCTGCGGGTATGAGTCGGACTGACAGGAATAATGAGGCAGCCAGACAGTCAGACAGTCCCTGAAGCCCTCAACCCTAAAGCTCAATTTTTTGTTTGGGCAGCCAGACAGACCAGACAACAAGTCAGCGACTGATTGATGCAGCAAAGACAGGGCAGGGAGGGAGGGAGGGAGGGACATAGCACCCAACAACCCCCCCTTATATTAAAACTAATTAATTAGCTAATAACTGGCTCCAGCCTAAAACTTAAAACCCTAAGCCTTAAACCTCGAGCCCCAAACCCTAAAGGCCTGAGCCCTAAACTTTAAGCCCTAAAGCCCTGAGCCCTAAAGCTTTAGCCCTGAGCCCTAAACCCTTAAACCCTAAAGCTCTCGTGTCTCTTTAATTAGTACTGCTGTAATTAATCTTTGCCTCTATAATTAAAGCCCTGAGCCCTAAACCCTTAAACCCTAAAGCTCTGGTGTCTTTAGTACTACGGTAGTCTTCCTTCAATTAAAACACATACAGATCTGCCACCCCCCCTAATGTTGCCCCCTTTAAATTGAATGCGGGGCCCGAACCCGCGAAATTCCGGGGGTCGGCAGTTTTTATATTAGGGGGGGGTTTAATGTTAGGGGGAAGCGATTATATAATGCCTGTTCCCCCGGGCCCCAAGCCCTTAATGCACCCAGGAAGATCCGAGAGGAATTGAAGGAGACAGCTCTCTGAAGGCAGTAGTCGGGCCGCTACTAGGGTGTTATGCCTCAAATATTAGAGTCTGGGGGCCTAAATAAGCCCCATGCCGCCCTTTAACCCGAAGCGCGGTTCAGGTGGACTTCCAGAGCCAGCTCAGCAACTTCCACCGGGCTCATGCCAGCAAGTTCCTCCACTACGAGGAGCCTCAAGCATCCAAACGAACCACCGCAGAGGTTTCAACAGGGCCTTGGAGTATCAATATCACTCTTTGGTTAGTGCCGTGGTGCTTAGTCTTTAATCTGCCCCTCAGCCCTTAGCATGTAACTTGTTGCTGCAGTCCTGGCGTTTTCCACCGTACTTCTCCCAATCATTGGCGCACATTAACGGGCATGGTGATGGTGTTTGTTGCTTTCAAGGCTGCAAACATGGTTATACATTCTGTTAGTTTCAAGCATGCTTCCGAATACCCATGGCTAGTTTGTTGACTTGTTTGTCGTCTCAGTGTTAAGGAAGCATTCGTCCCTGACATGTAAACAAACTCCTCCCGCAATCCTTGACGTTCGAGATTCTTCGTCAACCCATACAGCCCCAGCTTTGCTAGTCACTGAGAGCTTGCGTATGCGTTGACCTCACCAAGCAATTGAGTGACGGAAGCATGTGTCTGACATGACGGTCGAAGTAGTTATCTAGAGGGAGGACCTATCCTGAGTTCGAGCACCCTACAAGTAGGCCCTGAAACCGAAGCACTGTTTGCAGAATTCTACAGATATGTATGTACGGCTTTGTGCACGCATGTCTGTGCGTGCGTGGATAAAAGTGTATACATACATACATATATATATGTATATGTATATATATATATATATATGTATACACTTGTTATTGTATTGATTCTTTTTTTGGTGTGTGTGTGTGTGTGTGTGTGTTTGTTGTTTTCTCCTTCTCTCTCCCTCTCTCTCTCCCTCTCTCTCTCTCTCTCTCTCTCTCTCTCTCTCTCTCTCTCTCTCTCTCTCTCTCTCTCTCTCTCTCTCTCTCTCTCTCTCTCTCTCTCTCTCTCTCTCTCTCTCTCTCCGTGCGAATATGTACAGCCTTAGACCAAAGGAGGGTGGCCCCTGTGACCATAGCTGGCATGGGCTCCATGAGGAGTCCCTTTGCTTGGACAGCTTGGAACTTTGGTTGGGTTGTTTGGTTGAGGTGTGGATTCTGGGTGGACTCAGCGCCTTTACTAACTTACAGTACGCTTTGATTCGGGGATGTGTTTGCTGGGCATAGCGGGGTTATCTATGGGCTTCAAAAGGGGCAGTCTAAGGGTTAGGGCCGTTGGCCGCTAGGGCAGGGTTCGGACCGGGCGCAGCAGGAATTCCAGACAGCAGCCATTAAGGAAAAGGCGGCATGATCCAATCCATGTGCTTTTCCGAGCCGGGGTCGTTGCATCCGTCTCCTTCCCATCGTTCAGTGCTTTTTGCTCTTCCTTTGAAGCCACGAGGTATCGCCGACTCTACGAGGACCATTTGCAGCAGTGGCTGAGTTGCATGTGCTTTCGGAGTCTGATGCGTCTGATGCTTGATGTAACACTTGGCTGGAAGTTCGGAGCGCTCGGTAAAATTCTTGCCCCTTCTATCAAAAGCATGGCGCTGGCTCCAAACCGTCTTATAAGCTGCCAGACCCGTTGGGATCTGTGCTGTATGTGGGGCACGACTCTTTCAGCTCAGGCTTCAAGAAGCATTGCCCCGCTCTTTGCGAGCATGCCTTTCAGGATCTTGAGTTCTTTAAGAGCTTCGATCAGTTTGGCCGTGATGCTGACGTGACGTGTTGGTAGCTTCTGGAACGATGTCGCTGCGCCATGTCTCGTCGTCTGGCTCCGTCAATCGTACGATGTCCATGATGCCTCCCAGTGCGAGCACCAAAGTCCTGATTTGTGTTTTGGTTGCTGAGGTTTCTGGCACGCGAAGGGATGAAGCAGGAAGACTTCGTGAAGCTCGCTGGCCGCTGCTTGCTTGAAGTGCATCCGCGAAAGGATCCACGTAACGATGGCACTAGGATTGTGCGGCATCCGAGACTCGTGGTTAGGGTACAAGTATACTGAGGGCCACGACGAGCATGCCAGTTTGCTTTCCTTCATGCCATGACTGTTCTGCATTCTTCGGGAGATAATCGGGAAAGCGTTGCAGAGAGTGGGTTGTCTCTGATCTGGAAGGGAGCTGCAGGGCTTCGAACTCCTTGATGGCACTGCGTGTGCCCAGATCATGTTCCTGTCAACCGTTAGCCGTCTCCATGTAGAAAAAGAATCTACCGTCGCTTTGGCGGAGGTCCAATGCAGGACTGTTTTGCTACAAACTATTCAGAAATCGACATCCAGGGGCGGGCTATGGACCGTGTCGACGTTCGGTTTCCCAAATTCAATTCGGGTTCCTGTTTCACTGACAAAGCTGCGCCACCCACCTGGATGCTTTGTGTGGTTCTCCTGCCTGAGACGACAAGTTGAGAATGGTACCCTTAGCCGAAGACTTTTTGAACCTCAAACCGTCAGATGCAGAGAGCCGCAGCCAGGCTATGCAAAGAATCTCAGCGGCCAGGCCACCGGGGGTGGGGGGCGAGTGACTAGCACGTTGTTCATGCGAGAGGGGCTTGCGCTTGGTGTATAGTGAAGGAATGTAATGGCTTTAAATAATCAGAATAGGATTTGGGCGATAGTATGCTATAGTACTAATAATAAGGAACCCCCAAAGCCCTATTCTAATTACTAACTCCTCTACATGAAGCAGTGGAGTTGTGGCCTGGGTCTGAGTGCTGCATATTGCGGCTTCACCTTCACAGAGGGTTGCTGGCTTCTTGACTGTATCTTTTTTGGCTCATCGCCAGCAATCGCATAAGCGGAGGAGAAGGCAAGAAACCGTATAGGGAGAGCCCTGTAACGCGCAATTGATTCTTGGCAGGTTGTGCTATGCGCTAGAATCCCTACCCCTAGATCTTCCCATAAGGCCCTCACCAGAAAAGGCCACTCGAGCCGAAGACGTTCTCCCATCAGATACCCTGAAGGAAGCGGAGGAGTGGGACGTCTTTTTGTCCAAGCTAACCTCCTGCGAGGCGAGGACGGCTTGTGAATGGTTATTCACTGTTAGGGTTTAGGGTTTAGGGGTTTGGGGTTTAGGGTTTAGGGGCCGGGCATACGCATAGACCAGGTGTAAAAGGGCCTCGGCTGAAGATCGGCAGAGGCAGCAGTGCTGGCAGTCATCAAGTCCGGTTTCAAAAAAGGGGCCGGGTCTAGAGGAAGATTTCCAACTTGACCCGAGCTCGGGTTGCCATACCGACTTGCGCACGCAAGGTCCTGCAGCATGCTACGCAGTCAGGGGGCCAATGGTGCCTGCCGAGCGGCCACTCTATGTAGAAGTCCCTGTCAGCGAAAATGCAACCCACGATCATCATTGTTTTAGTAAAGAATCGGTGGTCGGGTGTTGTTCTAGCAAAACTTTACTGCTGTGAAGAAGGATTGAGGTCAGTAATCCAGTTCGGTTCGGACTGTATGCCATGTGACTATTGTTACTCATGCTTAGCCTCCTCGCAAGTGTATCCAGGAGTTCAGCGACTTTCTGGAAACGATGAAAGCAGTTGCTTCCGGGAAGCTGCTGGGCTCTTGTACACCGTAAACAGTTTCCTTTGTTCGGAACCAGCTGACAAAGGGGTCGCCAGCATATCTCATATCTCCTCCATTCGTCCGTTCCCGAGGCACCGCGAGGCCGCAAAGGCTCCCGCAGAGTGAACAGGGACCCGAAAGTAGGCGACCCTTACTTCAGATCCACAGCTCTTAAGCTTTTCTGCGATACCCGAACTGCAATCCCAAACTTGAGGGTGTTAGATGGTGCAGTCCAGAAACGAGGCCATCTGCAAACTCCACCCAAACATCACGGGGCCAAGTATCAGCGTGTCTTCTGTTGGGACATGCTAGGCTTAATCTGCTGAGGACTGGAATTCTGGCCCACACGGAGTGCAGCTTCGTCGAGGTCTGTGCGGCGGCTAGAACGAGAGTAGCCAGCGATCATGAGCCTTTGATCATCGTTTTTGTTCCAGCATCCTGGCCTTGACGATTGTTCCTGCTTTGCCGTTCTGTTCGTACTTGTTTTGGTTGCCAGCGTCATGCGCGTTTGTCGCAACTGATGACGGTAGAAGCTGCACTTAAGTTGATATAGCATGCTTCCTCGACGTTCAAGGAGTCATGCGCGAGAGATTTGCAGGGACTGCGACTTCGGAGCTCGAGGGTGAAGGAAGTCTTCTGCCCAAATACAGTAAGAGTCTATAATAGGGCTACTATTAAGGTCCTAACATGTCTATATTATGAATCATATTCAACTATTACTGAGTGGGTTTAGGGGTACCCAAATGAAGGAAGTCTACTGTCCCAGGACGATCCGAGCTCGCCGTCCAGGAGAGAGCCCTGACATAATTTCTGGGCCGGTACACTTATAGTAGAAGCCCAAAAGTTGGAAACCCCATAGCCTCGATCCCTCAGAGTAATGCATAGGGAATCCCAGCACTATTTCGCCTTAATCCGGTTTCCAACTTTAAGGGGTCTATACTGTATAGGATTCTAAATATGAACCCCAAGAAAAGGAACTACTATGGAGCCTTAGGGTAGTTGCCAAGGGTTCGACACAACTGTGCTTTCTGACATGATGCATGCTGCGGCCGTGACAGAAAGAGTTTGGGATGTGACATGTGGACATGTGGGGGACTTCTATTTTTCGTTGCTCTCGGGACTACGAACCATATCCCGACGAGCAAGAGCCCACCTGCTTCGATCATGCTGCTATGCATTGTCATGCTGCATTAAGGCCCTCATTTGTCGGAACCGTTCTTCCCCTGACCAGCTTTAAATATAAGCTGTTATCAGTTTCGTCCGACGTAGGGTCAGCCTCTTTCGGCTTGTGCGGACTGCGATGACAAAACGATTACCTAATTTCTCGCTTCCATGGTGAGGTTCCAGAAGGTGTGGTGGCCTTCAGCCGCCATCTCTCCTCCAGCTCAAGGAGGCGAGTAGCGAGCTTATGCTTGGCAACCAGCCAACTCTCAACAAGAAAGCCTCATGAGTTTTCTCCTGTCCTTCTAAGATGGCTATGCCATGCAGACTGGCACTACATGACTTACATCCCATGAAGTCTCGGACAAAAGCATTTCGCACGATCCCACTTTCCGTTTATTTGGCAGGAGAGACCTGGAGGTGTTCACTGAGGAGAACTGGTGCACTTTCCACGCCTCTTCGACAGTCATGTTGTATGGAATCCGAGTCCGAGTGACTAACATGCAACCATCAAACAACCTCGAGTGGAAATTGCTTTGTTCGAGTCCAGGCTCGAAGGTTTTGGCTGATAGTTGAATACAGAGGTGGGGCTGGAATCTTGCAGAACACGTGCAGCATGTCGTGGATGTATGTGAGAAGTTTGCAAGCTCTGTGGCCGCAACTGAAGTTTGAGTCGATGAGGGGTCTGCACGACCATTGACATCCTGACCTCAAGGAGTATCCTGGCGACTGAGGTCAGATTTCAAGAGCATCGGCACGAGTGGTACTCGCTGCACCAAAGGCTGCTTGAAGGGGTGGGTACAGATCTGGGCGAGGCTGTTGTTTTAGGCCTTTGCCGAAACTATTCGTTGAGTTCCCATTCGGAACTGCAGCCAGTGGAAGCGCCAAAGCCCAAAGCCCGAAACTAGCGTCTTGTACATCCTCGCTTCCTGGTCGGCAGGTTTGTGCGGCTGTTCGAGCTCGCGGCCGAGGAGGCCGAGGATTTTGTCGGGCTTATCTCCAGATTCATCGTGGTGGTGGGATTGCCACACAAGCAGGGCAGCGGTAGCTGCAAGAGCACTTCTGACGGTGGTCGTCTTTATCGGGACAGGTGGCGAACAGCAGAAGTTATAGCCGCAGCTACTTGTACCGGCGACAGGAGCCGAATACGCACTGTTGAGCTCATATGTAGTCACAGTCGTTGGTTTGCCTGGGCATGGTTGCGGTTTCGTGGTGCTGCTGTTCATGCATTTAAAGACGAGGTGTTGCTTGACATGCCTTCGTTTAAATCGGAGTGCTTAGTGTTGTTGGTGGTGGTGTTCTTGTTGGCAGAGGCATTTTTTTCTGCAATCCGTTGTCGTGCTCTCTTCGTCGTTTCGCCGTTGTCGTCGGCACCACTGACCCAAGGAGTTCAGCCTAAACACTGCAGACTCAACTCATAGGAAGACCGAAAGTGCCGCCATGCAATGCCAGAATGCCAGGCCTTGCTTGCCGCAGGCCTGCAGATCGGCCAGTTACTTGGCCCTTTTTGCCACAAGGCCTTGGGAGCACAGAAGTGCAGAGCTTACAGGAGTTCCAGGAGCCGCCCAAGCCGCGAGGTACAGGCATGAAAGACTGCCCAAACTGGCACGGACTGCAGACAGGACGTCCTGTCGGTATTTGTTCCACGCATGTACTCACAACAAGTGCTAAGGTTGGCCGAGTTTTTGGTGCACCAGCTGCCCCTCATGGGCCAGCACCTGGGCTCACGGATTGGGCTGTGTCGGGCTTTGACTGCGAGGTTGCAGATACTGCAAGCACAAGCTGGGATTCCACAGCGCACGGGCATCTTCAGCTTGTCGCACTCGCTTCGAGGAAGATGTCAAAGCCGGGGACAAATGCCTTCGCCTATCCAAAGCCTCCAAATCTGCTGGAGCTCTAAATCTGCAGGATTTCCCAGGGAGGCCTAGCTGAGTCTGGCTCCCAAGGCCCCGCCGACCGCTGTCCGACCTAAATGTCCCATGCCAAGCCTGGAGTTGCACTCGCGTCGGCCGCCAGTTCATGCAATGGCAGGCCTCACGCCATTCATTCACTTTCATCTCCTCCTCTTACTAGTTGCCATCAGTACCATCTTATTGCGACTATGCTCTTTGCCATCCTGTTGATCATCATCCTCCTCATGAATTTGCAAGGCCGCCGGCCTTGCAGGACTTTTTGCTTCTGTGTCTTGGCAGCAAAGGTGACGTAGTCTGTCTGGTTCTTAGTACGGAAAAAGTGAATGGGTTATGGGGACTATTATTGGGGATGATATAGGGACTACTATAGGGATCCATTTTCCCATTCCCTGACCCCTAAACCCTAAACCCTATCGCCTGGATTGTCCGAGTGTAGCGTCGAAACCCTAAACCGTAGAGTTTAAACCCTAAACCCTTTAGATCCCTTTAAAAGGATCCCTCAAAGAGACCCTAAATCCTCATAGGGATCCATTCCCCTATTCCCTGCTAGGCACCAGACAGTTGACGTAGTGTACAGCTGGGCCGCCGGCTCTCCTTTGCCTCCTAAACTGAAACGCACATCTGACGGCGACAGCAAAAAGGATATCTGACGGCGACAGCATGCATGGCTTTTTAGTGTTGCAGGTTAACATAGGCGCATTTAAATAGTTAACTATACTGTTTTGGGGGTTATGTTTATAATATGGTACCCCAAAACCCTATTCTAGTGATTAGGGCCCTTATATTAGGCATTCCTCAATGTGTCTCCTGACCGCGCGTGATTGTTTGGTCACGGTTCCGGACTGCTTGAGTTTGGTGATGGCACCGCCGACACAGCATGACTCGTTGTAGCCGGGTGCTGTGCTACTTCTGTCTTCCATGAGTAGACTTGTTCCGGCTGTCTGGGCAGGTGGCAATCACAGCTTTTCTGTCAGGTAGGCTGTTCCGAGTCTAGTACAGTTAGGGCCTGCCGTAGTTTGGAACAATCCTGCAATCCTGACGAGGCTTTCCCCGGCGGAAGATTACGTGGACTTCGTTGAAATGATGAAGGCAAGGGGCGAGTTGCATCTGGCTCTAGCTAAACCGCATGGAAACCCTCGAGAATTTTGTGACGAAATCTCGCGAGAAGTTTTTCTGCAAGGAGATGCCTCGTTGAAAAGCACCCTAAATGTTAAGCCCCTAAGCACCTATGCCTTAACAACCCTATCGAAGTGGCCAAGGTTTCCCAGACCAGGGCTTGAAACAAAGATCGAGTAGAGATGTAATCAGCCCGAATCGCAACTTATCAGACTCACCAAAAAGCAGACCCTCCGGCTTCGAAAACCTTGACGTTTTTTTGCACTAAATTACTAAACCAAGGCTCACAGAACCTTGGGTTCAGACGGTGACAGGCTCGCGCCGCGGAGTTTGCATCTCCAGGGCCTGCGCGAGGCGTGAGCAACGGAAAAGTCTGCAAAATGCGACCACGCTTTCTATCACGGCGATCATGTTTATTTATTAAACCCTAGACATTCCTAGACACCCTAGTTTGCCGGCCCTTTTGCCCAAGTTCAAGCAAGAACACCAAAGCCTAAGCCCGAAACCCAGTCCGCCGAGTGCGAGCGTGTGAGTCGAAACCCGCTGTTGTTTGCAGACCTTGCCTGCCGTTGTCAGAGTGTGCCCGTCAACATCCAAATCGTTTGCTCCTCGTGAATCCGTGCCTGCCCTGTGCAAGTGTGCGAGTCCTAAACCCCAAACCCTAAACCCGAAAACCCTAAAACCCCAATCGTTTGCTTCCCTGTGGGAGAGTTTGGGGCCCTGCAGGAAGACCTCAAAGACAACTTCAGGGTCGACGGCTGTGGAAATCATTGTTGATGGTTGAGGGGTCAGGGTTCGGAGAACGATCTTTCAGGGCGTTCGGGATGGAGTAGACGTGTAGGGTTGAGTGACGGTTTAGATCTTGACAGTTTTTGGTTGGGGGGTTCGCCCTCATTTACGCGGATCTACATTGGATGTTAGCGGCTCCTGCGGGAAGCGGCAAGAGCACAGACATGGACATCACATGTGTGAACGTTCAGAGGCTCAGCCTAAACCATGAACTGACCTTTAAATCAGGCATCCGGGTTGGGTCGCTCAGGCTCATGTGTGTGTAACCTGATAGTATAGATAGGTTCAAGACAACTGCGCAGAAGCTCCACTGCCTGCGTGCACGTTTGCATGCAGCTATGAGTGTATGAATGTCGTACGTAGCTATATTCAAGCAGCGATTCCGACATAGGCTTAGGTACTGGGACTGCCTGCTCTTAACTTGGCTCAAAAAGATAGGGTCGAGATGAAGTGTGTTCAGAGTCTAGAACTTGGGAGTTCATCTCAAGAGGTCGCACTCTAAGCCCGACACCCGAAAACCCGAATGGTCAATGACAAGAGGCAGCAACCACTCAACAAAGTTGTCCAGGACTCCGGAACCCGTAAGATAACTTACAGAAAAGACTTGAAACCCTAACGAAGCCCACAGAACCAACGAAGCAAAACTCCCTAACTGGTCATCGCCGAAAAATACCACACCAAGTTGCGGAGTGTTCGCTATGGGGTGCGGGGCCTTCCGGGCAGGCGCCAAAGAGCCACAACCGGCGGTGCCGGAGGCAGGGTATTATTGTCAGCAAGCCTTAATAGAGCTTGGAGCTCATAAGTTTGTTTTTCTCCTGGTTTCGTAGATTGGAACAGGGCCTATAAGGTTCGAGAATTTGGTATATAGGGGCATTGAGGATCATTGAGCCCAGTAGTCGGAAGTCGAACTGGAAAGTTGCATTCGCGTTGGGGATCGTACAGTCTGAGGAGCATCCAAAAACGTGGGCCCAGCACTTGCAGAGAACCCACGATCTATGGGAGAGCTTGAGACCAAGACATCTTTAGTTTGCTGTTTTGCTGGGTTGGGGTCACGTGCTGGTGCTCCTTGACTAAGGGAAGATGCAAGAACTGCACCCAGAACTTCTTCGGTTCCGCCCTCCATAGGATGAACATGTACGGCGTGTCAGCATCGTCACCCCTGTGAAGGCGGCACCATCTGTGCTGCCGCCCCCGCCACCTCCACCGCCTCCACCACCGCGGTCACCGCCGTGCTCGCCCCCAATCTCGCCACCGGCCGGCTCCCGCGAAGTGTCTCCGAGCCCAGGCACGGCTGCGCTGAGTTCAGGCCATGTCGGTTCTCGCCATCTTGAACCCGGAAGACCGGAAGCGCCAAAGCGCCTACCTGATTCCTAGCCTAGAAGGGTTTCAATCTGGAGCTCGAAGCCCGATTCAGGAGACCGCGGACTATCTGATGCTGACCTGGCCCACACTTCTGCCATCCGTGAGTCCTTTAGGGCCTTCCTGGATGCCAGCGACGCACCCGAGACTGGCACTCAGCGAGCACAGTCTTCACCTCTACAAACGGGGGCTTTCGATAATTGGGGACCCTATTATAGCACCCTAAATAGAGGATCCTTATGAGGACACCAAATAAGTTACCCGTATTTTCGGAAACTCCCAAACACGCGCACACACACACAAACAAACAAACAAACAAACAAACAAACAAACAAACAAACAAACAAACAAACAAACACACACACACACACACACACACACACACCCACACACCCACACACCCACACACCCACACACCCACACACCCACACACCCACACACCCACACACCCACACACCCACACACCCACACACCCACACACCCACACCCCCACACACCCACACACCCACACACCCACACACCCACACACCCACACATCCACACACCCACACACCCACACACCCACACACCCACACACCCACACACCCACACACCCACACACCCACACACCCACACACCCACACACCCACACACCCACACACCCACACACACCCACCCACACCCACACCCACCCACACCCACACCCACACCCACACCCACACCCACACCCACACCCACACCCACACCCCCACCCCCACCCCCACCCCCACCCCCACCCCCACACCCCCACGCACCCACGCACCCACGCACCCACGCACCCACGCACCCACGCACCCACGCACCCACGCACCCACGCACCCACGCACCCACGCACCCACGCACGCACGCACGCACGCACGCACGCACGCACGCACCCACGCACGCACGCACGCACACACGCACGCACACACGCACGCACGCACCCACACACACGCACCCACACACACACACACACACACACACACACACACACACACACACACACACACACACACACACACACACACACACACTTCGCCTCAGCAGTTTCGTCACCGATCTTAAATCCAATGGACGTAAGTCCAAGTTCAGCTATGGGACTCTGATCGTGGCTTTAACATGCTTCTTCTTGTTTGCCATGAAAATGATGTAGACTCGTCCTTGCCACCAGAGGCCGTGCCGCGAGCAGGGACGAGCTAGACTGGTTCGACACTGCATTCATGTGGCCGTGAGCTCTAAAGGTTTTAAGTTTAAGTCTATACGGTCTATGCCGAGAGCCCCAACTACAGAGTTGATCCAACCTCCAGCAACGCCACCAGCTAATTCTGCTATGTTCGCCTGGTATCTCCCACATTACCGGAAGAAATCGTTTGCCACGATTGGCCCGCACACACATACAATCCCTACAGAACATCCCCATACCTTGGTCTTCGCATGCAAGGTCCCTGCAGCACTTCCAGGCGGTGCTGTCTCTTCTCGGCGAAGAGAGGCCTCAGTATTTTCGGAGTTGGGCTTTTGAGCTGGAGGTATCAAGGCTTTTAGCATGGTTTGGGGTTCCCCTTTTTCGTCGGAGCTTCCCTTACCTCAAAAACGGAGATCCTGCAGCACTGCGATCCTAAATCGTCGCATGCTTCGGCATTTCCGGGTACGGCTTGGGCTTGGAGAGGCAGAGTTGCGGTTTTAAAGTCCAAACTGCCATGTCAATATGGGGAAGCCGAGGTGAGAACAAAAAGGGTTTTACAAGATGCAGACCTTGCCAGGTCCTATTATTTGGATACTCTGCAGTCGTAGCAGCCGAAGGACTACGGAGCCTTCAGCTCCAGAATCCTTTTTCCTTTCTTCTACACTCCTCTCCCCTCCCTCCCCGCGACCTAGAAGCGGTTCCGACCTACGGACTTCGGATTCGCTTTGACTCATAGAAAGTGTTGGCTAGTAGAAGTTTGCTTTTCGGGGTTCGGCTTGCCAAGAGTGCAAGCCTTTCGCCCCCATGGAGGCCGGCAAGCTACCAGAGCCTCTCCACGGCACTGGGGGCCCACTTGTCCCGGCCACTGAGGGGGCTGCTCGTCACTCGGCCGATCCGGCAGTGAACTCGGACCCTAAACCCCATCATATAGACGTGATTTTTCTTGACCGATGTAGCTGTGGATCTACAAAGCCCATGCTCGCTACGCAGAGGGAGGGATGGGATGGACGCTGGTCTATGCAAGAATTCAGAAGGCAGAGAGTCAGATGAAGGAAGTCAAGTTTGTTGTCCTGAGGACTGCATCGACAGGCGCCTCGGCAGCAGACCTGAAGCACGAATGCTCAGAAGCTCCCTAAAGAAAGACCGGTAAGGCCGTACGTCAACAGTTCAACTCTCCGCGTCAAGCACCAATACCTTAAATTCATTTGGCAAAAACGAGACGATCCGGATGGACAACGCAGAACGAGCCCTCTACAGACGGCGGTGAGCTGACACGCAACAAACCTGATTCGCCTTTTGCCGGTTACACCCCTAGTTTTTGTTACCTGCGAAGCTCCAGTCGGTTTCCTGTGTGGCAAGAGAAGCAAAGATTCACCCAACCCGACAGAAATACTATAGCGTACATGGCGGATGGATTTGGAGAGACGGTCGCCGCAGCAAACAGTTCGGTCGGAAAGTGTTGCATTCCAGTCGGACCTGTCCCGTTTTTTGTATATCGATGTTGTGAGGCTTGTTATGCTTCTTGGAAGTTTCCTGCGAGAAAACTGCAGATATGCGGCTGGACGTGATCTCTGTTTTTTCAGTATGTTATGCTTTGATGCATGTACGTCTGCTAATTCGGCTGGCTTGCAATGTATCTGCTGCCATTGGCCCAAGCTTGAGCTCACGTCGACCAACCCAGCTCCCCAATACTGCAGCATGGAGTCATGTTCTTGCAGAAGTTGAAGGGCGGCCCGAGTTTCGTGGAAAACACTGACCCAAAATCGCAGCTACAGGTTTCCCCCTTATCGCAGAAAGACCCTATAACTCAACCCTATAAGCCGCGAGATGTCGGCCGGGGAAGCCAGGGAACTTCGAGCAGGCGCCGAGGAACTCTTGTCTGGTCGTGAGGCGCAGCTCCCATCACGATGGGAGCTGCTGGGGGAGGTGTTCCCTCTTTGGCTGCCTATGGTGCTTCCTTGCTGTATCAGGCTTCTGGCTTGGAGGCTCCCGTTCAGGATCTCTTCCAGCTTGATATTGCTTTGGCGGTACTGGCCTTTTTTGAACCATTGAGCCGAGCTATAAGGCAAGGATGTACAACTGAAAAAAACAAACGATAGTTTAGGACAGACAGCTGCCTGAATGGTTCTGGATTTTTGAGAGAAGTGGCATCACATGATGATTACTCGAGCCAGCCAAGGTTCAATAATGTCATGATGTTGGCGAATGAGATCTGCAACACAATCTGCATCGGCCGCAAGCTTGCAAGACAGGCTTGAAGCTTACCCGTCCTACCTCCAAGCCTTTATGGAAGCATGTTTTTTGCGTGCTGAACTGTTCACCTGTGGTGAAGAAGTATCATCTATGAATGTGAGAGATATGGAATCTATAGGCTATGATATAGGAGGTAGTTTGCACGCAGTGTGTGTGTGTGTGTGTGTGTGCGCATGTCGGACTGTGGCTAGACTTGCACCATACCATCATATTTGGAAACCGGGGTCCGAAATAAAGCCTCACACGCAAACAGCCCTCAAAGCCCGGACATGCGGGTCCCAGGCCCCGCATCCCAGGCCATGCAGGGAACGCCGCAGAGCTCGCGGCAGTCGGACTAGGAAATATGATGCAGAAGCACGGTGGCATTGATCGTGGCGCATAGCGATTTTTCAGAGTGGACTGCAGGCTCATTCGAAAGGGCGTCAGTGGTCTGGGACGCCGAAGGTTTGAGTCGGTTTGAGCATCAATCAAGCCTGCGTTGTGGTCAAGCTGAATGTGTTGGATGGGTTGTGCATTCCGACATTCTTGTCTTGGTCCGATGCCTTTGCCCATGTATCTCGTTATCTTCAGCTGGACAGGTCGGTGCTGCATGCAATGCAGGGAAGTCTGGAGTAGTAGTAGGCAAGTGTCGGGTAATGATGTCATGATATGTGGTGCTTCGTAGCCGCATTTGTGTTGCGTATGCATGTGCTATTGAATTATGCTGCATATGCATGTCGCACATGCATGCATTCTCTTGTGTATACATGTGTGCATGCATTTCGTAGCATGCAAAACAGGCAATTACATGATACCTGAATCTGTCGATGTCTGAGGAATTGCTGCGCCTTGAGCCTTGGTTTGGGCCTGACCAGCGCCCTTGACACCTTCGTGAGCCAAGCCCACGGGGCTGGGCAACGTTCCCTTTGCGTGCCCTGTCTTTTGGTTATCCCAAAGCGTCCAAGTACCATTATTGTAGGAGTTTTGGCCCCAAAAGGATATGCCATACCATTACTTGGACTCTTTGGGTATGCTTGCTCACATTAACATGTTTAACCGTTTCGCGGGTTGAGGGTTCGCCGGTTTATGGTCCAGACGGAAAGGGCTCAGTGGCCGCAGGCGTGACAGGGAGAGTTGATCTTCGGCTGTGGTTTTCCCTGCATGGTATCCACATGTAACGGCTTTCCTCATTGGCCTTCCCGCCCTAGGCTGGAGGAACAGGCATATCGGCGGGGGCATGTTAGGTCTGTGTGTGTGTGTGTGGCTGTGCTAATACCTCTTATTATCATTATGAGGGTACGGATGCATTCCATCCTGCTTACTCACTGCCCATGGCCGTGGTGCACGAAGAGCCGTGTACATTCTCAGCTCTTTGAACAACTTTCAGAGCCCCTGGCAGCTGTTATGGGAGTTAGGATTAGGGGGACCCTTGGGGATATAGACCCTCTCAATAAGACCCCTTTTAAGCGAGCCAGAAGTAGGGTTCAGAAGGGATACCCTTTAAGGGGTCTCCCAAATAATAATACTACATATGTTACGGGCTTCAGGGTCTTGGGCGAGGGATTCTTTCGGCTCGCAGGTGCAGTACCTCCAGCGAAGCCGGGCCGTTACTGCGACGCAACTCGTGTGGATGACCTTGGGCAGCTCTTGAGAATCCTGTGGCGTATTTTTCCAAAGCTTCAGACACGCCGAGAGCCAGTACATATATAATTGTGTATATATATATATATATATATGTTCTTATGTACTTATTCGTTCATTCATGTTTATATTATATATATACATATGTGTGTGTAGTATGTGTATAATGGATATATATATATATATATATATATATATACACTCTGACCTTGAATTTCCTGGCAACCTGAGGATTCCTTTGCTCTGGCTCAGCGACTCAATCCTTCTGGCCGTCGGCCAGCACGAGGATGTGGCGAGGTGCCCCTGCCATGCTCAGAGCTCACCAGGGGCATATTATAGTATGTTTATAATAAGGAACCAGGGGTATATTATAGTATGTCTATAATAAGGAACCCTAGGAATGAAACCGACAGAACCACGAGGATCGAGAAGACGCGCAAAAACGTCGTTCAATGATGACACGAATGGCTAAGCCACCATCGTCGTAGTCCGAGTTGTCGTCGTAGCAGCTGTAGCTGCCAATGTGAGCAGCAGCAGCTAAAACTAGAGTCGTTTTGTGGCCAGGCCTCCAGCATCCCCAATCCCTGCCGTGCTAGACCTTCAAGACATACCCGAAACCCCGAACTGAACCTTGACCTATCAGAGGGACCCCTCAAGCCGGGTATGATGAGCCCGCCCCTCCTAGCACCGCTGGATTCGACCCCCCCCCCTTTTAAAAGGCACGCTGCTGCATACAACCGGGCGGCATCCCTCGGTCTCCTTGGGAACTTCCAGCCACTTGGTTACGGTCAGGACCTTGCGGGTTTAGGGTTCCCAGTCTGCGGTCAATAAAGGACTCTGCACTGCAAGGCGTTGAGGCACGGGGGTTGTGCTTCTAGGCTTATAGCTCCTCTATGTTTCGTGTGTTGAGGGCAGCTTTGCGGAGAAGGGGTGCAGATACCGTAGATGGATACGACGTTCTTGATCGGGCACCGCATCGGACCGCATCTTTGCTTGGGAGACTTCAAGTGCCTTAAAGCTGTTCGAACTAAGAACTTATCGGCTTTAGGGTCTACAGGTTCAAGGTTTGGAGCTTTGGGGCGCTTAGGGCTTCAAGCCTCTGTTTCTTTTAGCGTTGGAGGCTAAGGGCTCCGGCCTACACTGTGGGGATCAGTTGTGTTCTGTATGTATGTTCTTTGAAGAACCGGTTAAAAGTAGAAAGCTGCTCAGAAAGACGCCTATCCCAGGTTTCAGGGTATCCTTTCCTACCTGCGGAATGTTGCCGTGGCACAGCCAATGTGGAGCTCTGCCTTGCATCAGCTCTGGGGTCACAGGAGTGAGCCCTAAATGCCCTCAGACTGGGATATCCCGCTTCTTGTCCCCATGTAGCTGTACTGTATGCTATACAGTTATAGTCGACCCGAAAACCCTGTTCTAGTTGGTAAGAAGCCTGTATTCAATCTGAGGATCTGGTTGCGAGCCTTGTTGTGTTTTCGGGTCGGCTAGGCGGATTATTGTGGCTCCAGCAATTCGAATTGCGATTGCTTCTTGCCACCGCGAAGCAACACGCAATATGCTAGACCGAAATCACAACCCATCCCATGTCTAATGTCTGTTCTCCTGCATCATGGCTTCTGGGATGCTTTTGGGTCCTTAGTTAGTCGTGCTTGCAAGTCGGTCGATGACAATAAAGATGCTTGCATAGGGTCCGGGTCCGAGATTCCGCAAATCGATTATGTGCGTGCGCGAACGCGCGTGTGCGTGTGTGTGCGTGTGCGTGTGCGTGTGCGTGTGGGTGTGTGTGTGTGTCTCTGTGTGTGTGTGTGTGTGTGTGTGCGTGTGTCTGAAACAGTCGGTCACGACTTTGGGTATGACATACCTATACATGACTATACATATGCTCGATGGGAGTTGGAGCGAGAGGAGCGAGAGACATAGAGCGAGAGAGAGAGAGAGAGACAACGGGAGACGGAGAGAGATGCTTATTCGTTTGGGGTATGACCGTGTCGGGGTGCTGGAGGGCTTGAGCCGAGGATTACCGGCGTCACCAGCCTCCTCCACATCGTTTGGGCAGTGCTCTTCGTGGTGGTCTTGGGCTGGGGAAACCTCGGTGCAGGTGCGCGGGGTTCCTGAAGCATGCGGGTACGAGGTCGTCCCGGGCATCATGCCATACATACGTCGTACTTGGTTGTTGGAATGTTTTCACTGTTACCGACCTGCGAATGGACTTCGTTGTGGCTGCTAGTTCGAGTGCGAGAGCCCAGATTCCCCAAATCCTATGCTCCCGGAAAAAACTGGGGTTTGGGTGGCTTAGAGACTAGACTCGAGACCTTGTCAAGGCATCGCCAACAGTACGACTTGGACTCTACAGTGGCTCATTGCATCCGGCTACCTCGTATGCAAAGCCCCAGAGCTGAGTGCCTCTTGGCAGGACGGCTTGCGATTCCACAACTACGACTTGCAAAAATTCATCCCAACAACTCTGACAACAACGACGATAAGTTCAATGCTCACAACTTTTTAGACGTAACATGGGGCATCCTTGCTGCTGTTGCATTGGGTGCTCTTGGCGCTTGTCTGACATCGTATCCCGATTCGATGTATGTGTGTCTGAGGAGCACAGGTCTCACTCGCCGGAGGAAAAATAAGCCTTGCATGGAGAGGCAAAGTAATCCGAAGCAAACCCGAAAAGTTTCAGATATAAGTTCAGTTGGAAAGGCTTTGCACTGTAGCCGCACAGGAGCTGTTGGGACTGCAGCCTGTGGCTTTCCGCCATTGGAGAGCCTACTTGGCGGTCGCGATCCCCACCACACTGCAGATGTGTAGTGAGTGGTGGTTCTGGGAAATCTGCGCACTTCTTGTAGGCTACCTGGGCCCAGTAGCCTTGGCAGCCCATGTAGCCACCATGAACATGGTGACCATACTCATCATGCCCAGCATCGCGCTGGGAGAAGCTGCATCCACGGTTGTGGGAAATGCCATCGGGGCCGGGCTGCCCAAGAAGGCAAAACGCTTAGCCTGGCTTTGCGTAGGTTTAGATGCTTTGATGTGGACCTGCCTGGCGATCACTCTGCTGCTGACGAAGGGACTTGTCGCGCATCTGCTTACATCAGATGCAACTTTGCAGTCCATGGTGCAGACACTGCTCACCATATATCTATTGGCTGGCTATCCCGACAACATCTCCAATGTAATTGGCTCCACACTGCGGGGCATGGGAAAGCAGAAGGCACCTGTCCTGGTTTATTTATTCTCTCTATACCTTGTCATGCTCCCTGCGGGCTGCACCATGGCCTGGCCCTGCCACATGGGCGTCCAGGGAATGTGGTTTTCCATGCCCATCGGCACGGGCCTCGTCACTTTTCTGTTCGTCATCCTCCTTTGGAAGGTTGAGTCTTGCATTCCATTCAAGAATGCGCCTTCAGCACTTTTGTTAGTTGTCAACGTCGTAAGCATATCTTTGATGCCATCAGAAATACGAAGAAGCAAGGACTGGGAGCAGTGCGTACGGGAATCAGATGAGCGGCTTGGGGCAGCTGCAAGAAAGGAGGGCCAACCTGCAGCTTCCGGAACCGAAGCCTGAAGAAGGAGCTCGGGGCTGGTTGAATTTGTTTGAGAACTCGGTGAGTCAAACCCCGAATGGCAGCGGTCCATCGCCGCACTTGCACAACGCAGTGCACGGTGCAGAGAGCATCAAGCTGCTTTGAGGCCCGAATTGGGATTCTGCTTCGTCATGGGTTGCAAGCAGCTTCGATTCAGAACCCAAGGCCCCCACGAGAAGGCGCCACTTTGGGTTCAAAGCCGTGTTGTACAGTGTACAGGACACTTGCAACTGCTGCCAGGGGAAAACGGCTGCAGACGAACGCAGGGACTAAACTCAGAGCCTCATCTTAGGGGAGATGCGATCCCTAGACTGTCACCACAGACTGCAAAGGCGACTGTCGGAGCAGGGGGTGGCGCTCAAGCATGGCCGAATCCTGGCAAATCAGGAGCAGAGAGTGGGCAGCGCAGCACTTGAAGCCCGAGAGCGATTACACACCGAACTCATAGATATGTGGTGATCAAGTCGACCATCAGCATCATCATCGGCACTATCATCATCAGCATCGTCATCACCGCCGCTGTCACCACTACCACCTGCATCGTCATAATCGTAGTGCGTGCCACTGCCGCCGCGGCTTCGGATTGTAATGTGTTTTCACAGTGAAAGTCTCCAATATAAGCATGGTCAGCTTGTGTTTGTTCTTTGGTATTTCTTGCCATGAGGTTCCTTTCTGAACCGGAGCACAGACATCACAGACCCCCCTGAGCCCTACTGTTCCCGGATGGCAAGTCCTCTCATGAGCTCCTTTCTTCCCAGGTCATTGGATCAGAGGTTCAGGGTTTGAGCGTGCAGCTGACCGTCCAGAAAGAGTCTATAGTCCAATTTTGAAAGATTAGGAAATTCGCTGAGAGAGAGAGAGAGAGAGAGAGAGAGAGAGAGAGAGAGAGAGAGAGAGAGAGAATGAAAGAGAGCGAGAGAGAGACAGAGAGAGGGGGCAGGAAGGGGGGGGCCTTGGCCCGGGTCTTCTCGCAGACCTATCCCCAGCAGCGAGCGAGAGAGAGTGAGAGAGAGAGAAAGAAAGTAACTTGGTTTTGCATGTTGCCTTCAAAGTCCTAGGATACAGCTCGAAGCCTTTGCACAACGTCCGTTGCGTCATTTGTGGCGCAGGCAGGAGCCTTGGTCGTGTGAAACCGTCTGGGCATGGACCCTCAGGGTTTGTTGGTCAATTTCCCTAAGGCCATATACCCTTTCTTTGTCTTGAAAGACAGGCCCTGTGGGTCTTCGGACGGCCGTGGAGCTCAAGGCTTTGGGCGCCGAGGCCTCTCATCTGGGCTTGAGGTGTACACGTACCTTCTAGGCTTTTTCAGCCGGTTCAAACTGGAGGGCGCTCTTGGCCGTGCTGCGAAAGGCTTGCTCGGGGTTGTTTGGAGGCTTGTAAGGCAGGTGACCTTACCCAGGTCGTAGGGTTTGGCATTAGGGTTTACACCCTTCCTGCCGGGTTGCTGCAATATTCTATTCGACCGAAGCCGGTCACCCTGAAATGTGACGACTGAATCTGGTTGTCGTTTTGAATGACATCGAACATGAAGTAGCTTTCGACTTCCTGATGCGAAAGGCTTGCCCGTCACATCCGGAGATACTCGTAGGTAATCTGCAGAACCTGAGCTCCTCAAGTGCAGATGCTGGCTGGCACATGCCCAAACCTTGAACGGCAATTTCTGCTCAGGTGTCAGTTTTCGAGAAGCGTCGGAGCTTTGACCGCCTCAACCGCCTGAAGTGCCTTTGGCCTATGTAAGGATTAAGATTCAATTACAAGGGGTTAGGGTCGTGGTTTCAATTCTGTCTTCCTGCACTGAACCCAATACTTGACCTGTGGCTTATCTAGGGTGCTATTCCCGCGCCACTGTAGACAAAGTGATGGCATTGAAAAAGTATGCTCGGGAAGCAGACTCAGCAAGGGTAGGCATCCAACTGAACGGCACTTTAGTCGATGTAGCTATAGAAATACCTACGGCAATTCTGAGTCGCAAGCCGAGGCCTAGAGCGACAACAGCACTTATACCGTATGCCATGGTACGCGGGCCTAGCATTACCGAAGTGCGGCTGCGACTATCCCGCCGCTTGATCATTCAGCGACGGAGCTGATCTGGCTCTCGCGGATCGGAAGCACGGAGAACTCGCACCCGTGAGACTGCCCAAGACACCGACCCCCGAAAGCCTTTGCTTCTGGGCCTCGCTGCAATCCTATTCCGACAGCCCTGCCGAGGCTTTGGGAGTGGGTGAAGCATGACCTCATCGGCCGAGATCTCAGTGAGTGGGATCTAATTTAACTAATGTGTAAGGTCATCCAATGATGTGCGCAGTAGGATTCAGTTGTTTGTCATTTGTTGGAAGTTCCTTTACGGAAGGCTCAGATGGTTCGCCTGGAGGCTGTGAGGGTACCGAGGGCCAGATTGAAAAGCAGGCTGGGTGCAGGTTGAGCAGCAGCTCTGAGTATCGCAGTTTGAACATAAGGTGTGGGGCCGAAAAATTCATGGGAAGGACTCTTACCAGTCTTACCATGTCTAGAGAGCTTAAATATGCAAACACCAGCATCTCGCTCTGGTGAGGTTGGGGTGCGAGGCAGCTGATGCCGAGGTGCGTAACGGGAGGGCACATGCTCGGGTACGCGGGGATGGGTAGGGGGATCACATGGTCGCTGGTCTTTGGAGTTCTAGATGCCTTTAGCACAGGTCTATGGGAGTTGGAGTGCCGTAGGTGCTCATCACGGCTTAATATTCGTCATTTCCTAACTTTCTCTGGTGACTTTCCGACTTACGCCAGTGACTCAAACTCAATGCAATCCAACGATCGTTTCCACGGAGCGGCATTCCGTACACTTTCCAGCTTACGCCAAATCTATAGCTAGAGTACTTGGCCCCCTAATATGGGTTATAAGTATAGTTACCTTACTCATAATTAGCCCTACTGATAACCACGCATGAACCTCCAAGTGTACAATCGGGTATCCGACAGGTTCGGTGCCGGCGCTGGTCACTTACACATCGGCATTGCCCAACTGCAGCTGCTGCTTCTGAAAACCAGCCGCCCGGCTACAAGATGAGTTCTGAAACTTCGTTATCAGAGCTCTTGCTCCTAAACCCTAAACGGGAATCATCCGATAAAGCGATACAGAGAAGGTTAGCATGCCAAGTAAACCCATCTTTCTCATGGAGCCACAATGAGCTGTCAGCAGCACAGCTCTTTCAACTGTTCTTTCGAAGTTGCCATGCAATGCGGGGCTTTGTCCTTGCTAAGTAGGAGGGGAAAAACCATCTTTGCCTCAGCTGTGGGAGCATGGCCAGAACCTGCAGAGACAGAGATTTCAAGCCACGGTACTTCACTCGTCTTGTGTCGTGCTGTCGGCCAATGACCATGAGTCCAGGCTTGCTCCTCGGTGTGGATGTGCAGCTCCTTGCCGAGGATATGACAATAGGGCTAAAATAATTACCAATACTATGTTGGGGATTCCTTATTGTAACATATATAGAGTTATAGTATAATGGATTCTAATCATTAAGGCCCCTTTTATTGTGTCATGTCTTTTCCATGCTGGCTTCCCTCTTGCACTTTGGCCTTCTAGGGCTTCGCGATGTCACATCGCATCCCGAAGCAAGTGTACGGCTCCACATTTTCGATCCTACATCGGAAACGCTACACCCTAACGCGTTTGGTACATGGTATCGCCTCTATCCCTTTCAGTGGAGATAGAGTGGACTATGTGGAGCCTTCCCTGGGTGTGGGCGTCGAAGGCGTTAGCTAGCGTGTGAGCGCAGACAGCGCTAATCAGCCTCCGACGGGTTACCCGGAGGCTCCATAGTAGTTCCTTTTCGGGGTCATATCTAGAATCCCATAAGGTAACCCCAAAAAATAACTACTATGGAGCCTATGGGTAGGTTGGCGACGACCTTGGCAGAGATCTCCGGTGAGGAGGAGACTCGGCTTCCAAAGGCTTGGAAAAGGCCAAGAACCCACGGCGTTCCAGAAAAGTAAGGGCTGTGAGAGGGATTGCATGGAAATTCGGGTTCCTGAAGTCTGTTTGGAGTCAAGGCTGGGTTGGTATATTTCTGACACCTGCTTAGATCCGGAATTTGCAATTTCAAGGCTGTTGGACATCCCTTTCGACTGTCATGGCGCGTAGTCGTGCCTCGGTTTTTTGGGGGGGATTTGGGCTTCTGGGCTTGAGCATCTCCAGAGTGGTCGGCTACGGATCGCAAGGCTGTCGAGTCCAATTAAACCCGTTCATAAAAGAGGGAAAGACTCCATGTAGTGGAACCTGCTGGTCTTGCCTGTGACAGCGAAGGTTCTGTCTCGGGATGCTGGTGAACGGTGAATCTGCACATCAGAGGGGCTTTGCTGACTATCCTACTTGTAAGCCGATAGCGACCAAGTCGCATGCTCACCGCGGCTCTAACAATTCAACCGTATCTTGTTTTCGGATGCACCCGAATGTATTTTAACTGGCCAGGATCCTTTAACTGCCAGCAGGGTCGGGGTCGTAATCAGCACACTCTGAAGCACTCCTGATCTTGCAAGGGTCCGGTGTTGTTGGCGACGCCTGCTGACAAGGCGGGGCCAGTGTTTTGCTGCGCTAACTTTGGTCTCCGGCTTAAGAACCAAAACACACTCCTGTGCAGGGCATGCATCGAAAGCTCACAGACCCGAATTTGTCGTCAGCTTGCCAGCATGTTTCGGCAGGTGCTGGCTTATGTATGCAGAACCCAAGGAGACGATGACCAGTCAACATCCAAGCTGATTCCACAGCTCGTAGGCAGCATCAGGTATCCGTCAACTTCTGTGCAAGACCCTAAAAGACCGAACCCTCAGAAGCTGTGCCTGCGTCAGCGAGTGTGCGAGTCGAAAAGACTGAACCCTGGCAGATCCTAGACTCTTTAAAGTTGGCACTCTCAATCCTTAGTGCGACGCGGTCAGAACTGCCGCCCAGTCGGCAGCTGGTATGCGACATGATGGGGAGATCCTGAGACCAACAGCAATTACCCCAAAAAGCCCTTGTACGTCCTTAACCCTCAACCACCTAAACCCTCCTAAACCTTAAACCCAAACCCTAAATCGTAAACTCGCCTCCAGGCGCCTTTCCCGGTGCCCTGCGACGTCTTGATCGAAGCGGGCGGGCCCAGGAGCCTTGCATCTCGGATCTTGATTAGGGGTTGAGGGATTAAGCCTTAGGAGTTTAGGAGTTTAGGTTAGGGGTTTAGGGATTATGTGTTCAGGCGATTCCACAAGTCCTGATGCAAAAAAAGGGATTATGGGTTTGGGGTTTAGGCGTCCTGCAGCAAAAAGGGGATTTGGGGTCTAGGGTGTTCGGATTCGGTGAGTTTCGCAGGGATTTTTTCTGAGCCTTGTTGACAAGTATGCAGTTGCTGAGTACTTTGTCAGCTAGGTTTTTTTTTTGGGGGGGTTCTGGTTTCTTTTGGACGTTGTTGAATGAACATAGTGGCATCAACAATTGAGGGATTGTAGTATAACTATGTAGCTATAGGACCGCAGAAGGAAAATGGTCACTTGCGTATATAAGAAACATGGGCAAGCAGGGACCTGTATAGTTAGTATTAGTCACGAGTGACAAAAATATTTAGTACCTTAGTTTTGGTATTTTCGTATATTTTCGTATAGTTCCTCATCGCTGCAGTGAGTGACAGGTAGATAGTTCGAAAAGCAGTGGAACCAGGGAGGTGCAAAATGTTCACGCTTTTTTGGTGAGCCACCCCCTAGGCCCAGATACCACAATAAATTTGCCATCGACGGAATCTGAGAGTGATCGACGACCAGAATGCCCTTGAAGGTCTGGAGTTCGGCCAACCTGCGATTCGAAATGGCCACTTTGGCCCGGAGTTAGGTCGGGAACGGGGACGCCACACCAGCACCTGCTCCTTGCTTCTTTGAGACTGGTTTGCAGGTTCAGGGTAACCTAACCTCAGGTCCAGGTAAAGGCTGCGATGCCTGTGCCATCAAACTGAAGAGGCTAGGGCCCGGGAGTTTTGGCATTCTTTGGAAGTTGAACGTGCAGATTGCACTGCGGGGCGGCCACGATACAGGACCTATGTGTAGCCCTTGCAACCCCCCCCCCCCCAGCTGTATCCCTTCCTCCGGAGCAGATCTTCTCCCGCGCTGCCCCGCTATCCACATGCCTTTAAGTACAGAGGCGGAAATACGAGCACCATGAACCCGCCTCAAAACCCCAATTATCCCGAGACTTTACATGTTTTTTTCGAAAAACAAAGAATAGATTTGCGTGTATCCCGAGACTGTACGAAGGTCAGGTCCGCGAAAGCCACCGGTCTCGTAGCCAACTTCTGTCGCCGCGACGGCCTTGGAGAGGATCTCCAGGAGCCACTGGGGCCAAAGATCGGAAGAGGGCCTCGGCTCCTGCCGAGGCCTTCGTTGATACTATTATTCTTATTCCTTTTATTACGAATAGTACTATTGTTACCGTTTCTACTATTAAACCTATTAATATTATTTTTGCTATTCTTATATATTCTCGGAAGTAAGGCCAAGTTTAGGGAAAGGGACTTCGGGCTTCAGGACCAGGGTTTCAGGCTCCGCGAGTCTGAAGAGGTCGGATAGATGGGCAGAGTACCGCCACCCGAAACATGCTGGTAGTTGTAAAAATTAGGGTCCCTTTCTGGGTCCCTAATATAGTACGGCACCTAATATTTAGGGTACCCCAAAAAAGGGGCCCTAATTTTGACAACCGCCCATGTAGACTGTAGACTGGAGACAGTCATACACGACAGGAAGAATCAGATACGTACAATATTCCTATCGAATCAGATACGTACAATATTCCTATCTTACCTGTTGCTAACAATTGACAACGCAGGCGCCCAAGGTGATTTGTTGTGTGTGTGTGTGTACGTGTATACATACGCCCAAGACATGCTCCAGGACTTGAGGATTTACAGACACGCTTGAAGCCAACATACCTCCATGGGTGGTGATGCAGCAGAAGGTTGTTGGGCAAGTCGCAATCTGACGTCTGCTGCTGCGTGTGGTTACGTCGTGCGGAAGCTGGTAGTACTTAGGTTTTCTTGGGCGAAGCAGTTCAACATGTCCTTGTTCAGCGACCTCAAAGAGAAGGTCAGTGCAGACCTGGAGAACATTGACACTCGGCCGGCAAGAGTCTTGCCAGATGCCCGCTTGACCTAAAGTCCTAGGCTTGTGGTGGACCTGGCGTGCCTTGTGCGTTCGTGAGACTCGCAACTCCAAGGTCTATCTCCGGGGCGAGGAGGCTCCGGTCGGGTTGGGTTTGGCACACGTCTTGGGCTTGGGCTGAATCGGCAATATACATGTATATATATATATATATGTATGTATGTATGTATGTATGTATGTATGTATGTATATATGTATATGTATATGTATATGTATATGTATATGTATATGTATATGTATATGTATATGTATATGTATATGTATATGTATGTATGTTTATATAATATGAGTACAAACAGCGTAGACCGATAGGTGGATGGATTGGTAGATCGATTAACAGGTAGAAAAGCGCAGGATAGTAGGTACATAGATACGGTTTAGGGCTTGTAGTGCTTTTCGAATAGGCAGACAGGCACAAAGACAAATGGACAGGTCGGATGGTGTCCGAGATCATAAGTATGGCTGCGGCTCTCAAGAGGATTAGCTTGGTCGTGGACTTTATCTGTAGACGTTTTCGTCTGTGCAATTGCCGACGAAAGTACCGCCCTGGGAACAGCTTACAGCTTGGAGTGCATAGCCCCTAGTTTGGGGCCAGCTATCCGACTGCTTGATTGACCGTCTACTAGACTCTGACATGCTATTCCATGCTTGGTCAAAGCAAGTTTCGAAACCCTAACTAAACCCTAGAGTCTAGAGGCCCTATAAGGTTTCTTGTGAACGAAAAGTTGGACAACCTGTATGTCCCTTCGAAACTGTTGGGATTTTCCCCGATTGTCTAACCCTGTCATGTGGGCTCGTCTTCAGTAGGGGGCAAAAAAACCCTAGACATAAGCCCTGTAAGGCCTAAGCCCTCTACCCTTTAAGCTCCAAGCCTTGCAACGCCTAAACTCGAAACCTCGTCTAGTGGAGTCCGAGTTGCGAGAGCGTAATTATAAGACCTAAGCCGTCTGTGGGCTTTAAAGCTCGCTGAAGGCCCAGCTTTTGTTGGCTCACTTCGCCACAGTCAGGCGCACTACTTCGTGATGACACCGAAGCTTCAGAGCCTTGCGCTGGCCTGAGGCTAGGGCTTTCGGGTTTGGGATTGGAGTTCTGCCTGCAGTCTTCGAGCATGTCGCAAAGAGCGAAAACTGCTTGTGGGTACATACATATATATATATAGAGAGAGAGAGAGAGAGAGAGAGAGAGAGAGAGAGAGAGAGAGAGAGAGAGAGAGAGAGAGAGAGAGAGAGAGAGAGAGAGAGAGAGAGAGAGAGAGAGAGAGAGAGAGAGAGAGAGAGAGAGAAGAGAGCGAGAGAAAGAGAGAGAGAGAGAGAGAGAGAGAGAGAGAGAGAGAGAGAGAGAGAGAGAGAGAGAGAGAGAGAAGGAGAGAGAAGAGAGAGAAGAGAGAGAGAGAGAGAGAGAGAGAGACACTGGTCTTAGCAAGGGGTGTTTTCGGGGGAGGGGTACACAAGCACAGGTGGGGGAACGAGCCGATCTCTCCCCCGGAAGCGGCCTGTCAGACCTTGGACTGTTGCGACCCGGTGGGGGTTTGGCCTTCGGGCCGGGGTGCGCGCACCCAAACCCCTTCGCAAGCAAGCAAGCAAGCAAGCAAGCGAGAGAGAGAGAAGAGAGAGGGAGAGAGACATAGAGACAGAGAGAGAGAGAGCGAGAGGAGAGACTCCTATTGCGATTTGGAGGGAGGGAGGGAGGCACACTCATAGTTCACCCCACTAATTAATGATTCAATCAAGAGTCTCACCCCACTAATTAATGATTCAATCAAGAGTCTACATCGTCTACACACGAGCTTTATCTTACACCGTTTGATCTTGACCCGATTTGTTTTGCTTTATTGGTCGTTCCTTCTCCTGCTACACTTCATGCTGTGCGAGATGAGGTGGACACGGGCATTCTTGCGACCCCGACGACGCCCTTCGGCGAGTTGGACGTGGAGGCCCCAGCGAGTAGGACAAGAGGCACCATCGCCTTGTCAGCTGTAGATTCCTAGCTTCACTAGCTTCATGTACACGAGCTGAACACGGTGCGTTGCATGGTAATTTTCTGCATCTTTGGTTTTCCTATGATTGTTGTGTAAGTGGAACGTCCTTAGCGGAAGCCACCTCGTTGCCTTGGCGTTGCAGGCATTAAAGAGCTTCTTGGCAGAGGAAGCACGAGGTCCAGAGTGGCTTACTTTGGGCTCGCATAGACGCACTGAAGATGAAACTGTCCTGTTTACCTGTGGCTTCTGCCGCATTCTTGAAGATCCTTGCTATATCTTTAGCCGTCTTCTGGATGCAGGTGCCCGGGCGATTATAGCGACTTCTGATGATCATCATGATCATCTCATTGCAATGCACCCGCATGTGGGTCGGGGCAGGGTTTGCGGGGTAGTTTGGCATTCCGACTACAGTACCGGCATTGAGTAATAGAGTCACCCGAAAGACCAACCAGCATAACGAATTTATCAATCACAGAGCGAGCAGGCCATCCCTGCCAGCGCATAATATAGCGGCCTTCTTTTTTTGTATACGTAGTAGGATGGGCCCCAAAACCCTATATGCCATTCATTACGAGGGCCCTGTAGCCTAGCTCGACACAGTCCAATCTAGCGAGCACCAGCCAAGGACACGCCCGTGGCATTGCCAGCTATTTCCGATTGCCGGAGCACTGCGCCATCTGGCAAAGACAGTGATAGAGAGCAAGCTCTAATTAGATCTGATTCGTGGCATTTCAGTCACTTCGACCCTCTTGTTCACTCTGCTTTAGATGCAGATGGGATAGAGATCGACCCTGCTGAGAGGACGATCCCACAAGGATCCAACCAACAGCTTCAGAAACCGCTTTAAGATGATCCTGAGACCAAGATCCAAGGATTTCGCGGCCCGTCCACAGCTGCTGCTTGGGGGCATTTCTCGAATACAGGGGTCAGGGGTCTGCAATGTTTAACGGCAAACGAGCATTTGACAACGACATCGCTCATCGTCACCGAAGGTATCCTTACACTATCGTCCTTGCTACCGCCACCATCATGGTCATGAATCATCATCAGCCAAGTACAGCGTAGTACAAGAGTAGCGTTGACAAGCACAGCCATCGACTTCGCTGCTGTCGTGGTAGCAACTGTCTGCATGGTAACAAAGCATGATTCAAAAGCATGTTACAGCGACTTTGCCAGCAACCAGTGGTCAACCGACCGAAGGTTTTGAAACCCTAGACCATATTAACCCCTAAAAAGGACCTCATGAGGCCGTGCCTGCGTTGAGCGAGTTTGCGAGTCGATTCCCTAAAAAGCAACAAAGCAAAGGTTTGACTTCAGTGAGCGACGCAGCTGCGAAACGGCGCTTCTGGCACTCCAGGCCTATCGCCAGGCTGGGGCTCAAGGGCCGGACTGTCCGAGTTGCAAGTTCAAGCCCTTGTTACAACTATACTTTACTCTACTCTACTATGTGTGTATGTATGTATATATATATATATGTATTTATATTTATATTGATATGTATATGCCAGAATATCACCCAGAAAATCCGATTCTAAATATAAAGTCCACCATGTTGCACCGTTCCTCCAGGAAGCTTTGAAGGGACTCCTTGGCCTCGGCTCTTCGTTTCTTCTTGCTACAGTGCAGGCCGTCCAGTTGCCCAACTGTGACATTGCGAACTCAAGCCTGAAGCACCAAGCCGACACAACCAGAATCTTTCTGAACTCATCAGTCCCCAGAGAGTCCCGACCCCCAAAGACGGAACCGTCGCGTGACTCTGAAGGACCAGAGGGCTTCTCTCTATCTCTCTCTCTCTCTCTCTCTCTCTGACTCTCCCTCCCCAATTTCTTGTTTTATTGTTTTGTGTTTGTGTGCATGTGTGTGTGTGTGTTTTTGTTTCTTATCTCTCTCTCTTTCTCTCTTTCTCTCTCTGTTGATGAAGGCAGAATCCATTGAGCGACCATTGCAAAAAAAACATGCAAGCACAGTGAGAACGAATTCGACGCAATCATACTTTTTTGCAAGCGCTTAAAGCTTCTGCCTGCCTGCTTGACTATACTGCTGATGGGTCAAACAACCACAACATTTGACGACTCTAGTATTAGGATGATGAGCAAGAAGCGGATGTTGCTGATAATAGTGGCCCGGCACGACGGTGCGATTGTGCAAAGGCGCGCATGGGACGTGTCACGGTTTCCCAGACCAGGCGCCCCTGCTTCTGGGAGTGGTGGGCGATGCACTCCTGGAGCCTTTCTGGCCTGAGGCCGGGATGCATGATTTCGGGGTGCGGGCCGGCCAGCTTTGCAGGGCGCAAGTATGGCGCTGAATCCTGGGATTGTGAATTGCCCCACTCTTACCATTCGGGAGGAGCAGGGGTTCCGAGGCAAATCCGCAAGACATGCAGAAGCCGATTGGTGCGATTTAGACTCAAGTTCAGACATAAACATCCCACAGTATGATTGAGGACCTTACGGCCCAAAAACTTCGGTCCGGAAGACCAACATCCGCCCTCCTGGAACCTGCAAGCTTGATTCGCTGCCCGGGGGTTTGGCGGAGTACTCTTGCTGCCCTCCTGAATGTCACATATATCTCCAGCTAAGATTGGCCTTCACTCACCTTCAACTGGACCAAGCGCTGCATTCCGAAACTCGAAAGCTCTGAGAGCAAGGCCCTTTCCTACGTCCTGAACCGAAGTACTGGACAACGGAAAGCCAGGAAACACTTGCAGAGTTGCTGCCGAAGCCTACAAACAGGGACAAACGTGATAAACTTGGACCGCGTAAGCTGATGCCACAGGGTTGGGGATCACTAAATCCTGACCTCTCAACCCCGAAACCCTAAACCCAAGGTAAACCACACCGACTCCGCACCTAAGAACCTCGCCTGGCTGTGTCCGAGTTGTGAGAGCGTAAACCCAAGGTAAACCTTCAGCCAACCTTCAGCCCCTAAACCCCCAAACCCCTAAACGTTAAACCCCTTAAGCCCTAAACCCTAATCCCTCAGCCCCCTAACCCCTAAGCCAGCCAGGGTTTGGGGATCACCCGCGGCTTCCTTGGCTGCTTGGATACATGCTGGCAGCTGAGCGAGCCTCTGAGGCAACTTATATAATTTGTGGTGCCTAAGTCTACTTTAGAATAGGGGTCCCGTAAAGTGGAGATACTGTGGACCATGTGGAGCCTTGCCTGCTGCGTGCGAGTGTGAGCGTCGAAAGGGGTCTATAGGGGATCTTTATACGGGTCCATAATACAAGGGCCTTCATAATTGCCTATACTGTATACTGGCACTATTTTGGGGGGTTCCTTGTTATTGTTATGGTATAATATACCCCCGCACCTTAGGGCCCCTATATTCCATCTACTTTCCCCAGCTGCTGCGAGTAGATTGATGGGGAACCCTAAACCCTAAACCCTAAACACGGTGTGTCTTATGTCCTCTGTTTTGTTGGTATGATCCCAGACCCCCCGGGAGGATCCAAAAAGTAGATCCCTTAATGGGGGTTCCTGTAAAGTACCCTTAGTAGTATAGGGCCCCAAATTCGGGGATCTACTTTCTACACTAATCCCTAAACCCCACATACTGCAGATTCCTTTAAGGAACCCTGCTAGATCCCTTTAAAGGAACCCTTATAAGGCCCCAAATTCGGGGATCTACTTTCTAGATCCTCCCGGGGGTCTGGGATCCAGCCTCGGCTGCCTGTCCTGCGCATCGGTGCAGCTCGCCTCTGCAGTGTAGCCTCGGCCCGGAAGCTTGCATTTTATAAGAATAATAATAATAATAATAGTAGTAGTAATAATAATAATAATTAATAATAATAATAATAAATAATAATAGTAATAATTGTTCTAGAAAGTCAAACGGCAGTCCATAGGCATAGACAGACTGCACTTCCCAGTCCCTCAACATGAACATTTAAGTCATGCTACACACTATAAGCCCTTAAGCCCTGAGTCTTCCGAAGATCCTGGCAGTGGCTTTGTCGGGTTTGCCCTCTGCCCTGTTCTTGGCTTCCGATGCCACCGAGGAGCTTTCTTGGCCTGACTTCGAGGCTTGGATTCCGTTTCGTCCTGCCGGGCTCCAGGTGTGCTTGCTTTCCGGAGTCTAGATAAGACGGACTTATGTAGAGGTCCTTTACAGCTTTAAGGTTTAGGACGTGAGGTGTGTTATACAATGTGCTGGAAGTCGTGCGTTTGGCATGCTTCCGAAAGAGATCTTGGGCAGAACATTTGTGAATGCTCGCTGCCTCGCAAGGCTTTCAAAGTGTGGGCACGGCAATCTCTGTTCAACAGCAGAGTGACAGACTCCTCCACAAAAATGGCGGTGTAATGTTCGGTGGTGCGCTTTCCCTCATTGGCCACAAGCTGCTATGCACGGTGTGGGGGCTGTTGCAAAATGTAGGGTCCAAACCCTAGAGGAGCCTTCGGATCTCTACTTAGTAGCTGAGCAGGAAACCTTTAACATCCTTTAACCTTTTGTGGGTATATATTCCCTGAGCCCTTAAACCCTAAACTTCCTATCACATTTCAAAGGTTAACGTTTTTTGGGCTAGAGTATTCAGCCCCTAAGTATATGGTCCTTGCACTGCACCGAAGCCCCTAAGGGGGCTGCCACAGGCTCCAAAAGCCCTACGGCAGCCCAAACTTCACGCTTTACCGACGGAACTCAGCCTCAGAACAGTTCCACCCATGATGAAGTCCCGAACCTTAACCCTCAACACACTAATGAAACTAACCAAGAAGGCTGTAAGTCCTTGTGACTAGATGCTGCTCCGCATGCACGCGGGTAGAGCAGTCGAAGCCTCACAAATGCCCCGCAAATCCCAGGCCTTATGAATCCCGCGAAAGATCTAACCAACTAGGCTTCAAACTTTGCATGCATTACATGATGGAAGCCTGCAAGGCTGCGCGCCGCGGTGTCGTGGAGGCCCTCCAGAGCCTGGAGCGTTGCTGCGAGCAGCGCGGTGCCAGCTGTGCCCCGGTCCAAACTTGAAGGTTTAACAGGGTTTCCTTCAGAAACCCAATAACCTGTACAGTATTGTACCATACGACTGTTACATATTTCCAGGGACAGCTACCTGTGATATGAGGAACTGTATAGGTGGGCCACATCATACTGGTAGTGCACATGGTCGGGACTTGAGCCTGGAGGACCGTCATTGCAACCATCCTAAGTAAGGGAGCGGCATTTCTGGTCCGGGTCTACACTGCAAGGGACAGGTGTTCGAGCTTTAGGCTCTATTAGTTTGAGGGGTTAGGGAGGATGAAGGTTGTTTGTGGACCTTAAGCTGTGCTTGCATCTTGCCTTGTTCATTGTCTGTTTGGGTCGGCTCAGTCCCAGAGGATTGTTGCGAGGATCAGCTTTTCTCAGCCTTGTGGGTCGCTGTGGCACGGCACAGGTTGACCATGCAGGTGGTAACGACAACCTGGGCGGAGAGATGTTACAGAGCTAATC